GAGATTCAATGAATTTTTCAAAGGCATGTTTCAATCTCGAGTGTGCCCTCCAAGTTTTGTGACTGGGATACCGAGGATCACAAAACGAGGTGTGAAGTAACCATGCAAATCACTTGGTACCCTCAAGGTTTATCACTCAATCGATGTGTCGGTAAACCACACACGCTCCACCGATGCTATGGTAAACCTAAGTCACCCTTTACCTACCTTGTTAAGTCCAAGTTAGTGTGTCGGTTAACCACACACGCTCCACCAACAACTTAAACAAAGTGTAAAGTGTAATTTCATGGATTAGCACCTTATTCACATTTTCCTTAAGTAACTAAGATTGGGAATTTAATAAAAGAATTTAGTTACTTTATAATATTCATCATACTTTTAATGAGAATTTATAAGTCCTTGTCTTACCCGTTCGGCTAACGACCCTCCACCGATCAAGAAGCGGTGGGTGAGAGTGGACACCCATTAAGTTGCCATTTTATAGGCAACAACCTTATACCCCCCTTATAGACCGGCTTCGTGAATGAGGCGTACTAGCGGTAAGACGACTTGACGTTATACATATATATATAATTAGTAACTTATAATATTTAAAGTATAAGGGTTGAATTTTAACTTTTTAAAATTCTAAGGGTTGGAACTAAAGTTTTAATCAAGACTTTACATGTTCCAAACTTGAGGGCAAGTTTTGTAAACTTCCAAAACTTTTCATTTCTTATAACTTATGAATTAATTGAGTAATAAAAATGAAGACTCTTCATTTTTATAACTCTTGTGTTCTTTTAATGGCTTTAATAAAAGTGAGACTTTTGGTTTTCCATAACTTGAGGACAAGTTATGGACTCCATTAAAACACATTAGGATCATGAATTAAACTACCATGAAGGTTACAAACAATTCCTATGATCATCTAATCTTCATAAGTTCAAGAACATGAATATGAAAACTTTCAAGAATCAAAAATCACACTTAAAAAAACTTGTAATTTTAATAATTGCCATTGTAAATGGATTAGCAAAACATTACACCATCTAAAACAAGCTTTAAAACATCAAAACAGTTTAGGGTAATGTTTCTAGTCCATTTCCAGCAACAAATGTGCAAACATTCATACGAGCAGAAAACAGAAAAACGATTTTTTTTCAAGCTGTTTGCACACAAAAAAACAACAAACGAACCTGGCTCTGATACCACTGATGGGTTTTGAGCATTCTAACACTTCCTAGGTGTACATGCAACCTAATAACCTTGGATCTATGTTTGTCTAATTATCATGCAAAGTTGAATTCCAAGGTTATATTCCTATCTAGTGTACATGGGGAACAAATTTTAACTTGCATGAAAGATAGAATAACTTACCTTGTTGTTGCTTATGATCCTTGAAACCTTGTGAGCCTAGCACCCCAAGTGTGATGCCTCAAATGCTTCACACAACACCAAATGCTTTTGGAATGACTTTAGAGAGAATACACACTTCTAAATCGGCCTAGCCCTCTTGTTTCTTATGTGTAGCCAATTTTTGGTGGAGAATGGGTTTCTTATATAGTGTTGACACATCTAGGGTTACACCATGTAAACCCTAATGTGTCATGACTCTTCATTTCCATGACCCATGGGTTTGTAACTCCCATGGAGCATCCTATGGGTGGAACCCAACTTGATAATCCATGGAGCCTCTTAGCCCACTATATAAGATATGGAAGATTTACATAATCTACCCATATATTTAATTAGTTATCTTTTGATCACTTAATTAATTCTAAATTAATTCTTGATCAAACTAATTAAATAATATTATTAATATATTAGAACTTATAATATATTAATAAACCATAAGTGTTATTTCTCTCATTTTAGTTTATCCAATTGCATGGTGCCATGCAACCCAAATGGACCATGCCGGGTCGGGTCAAGTACATACCAGAAATAGTTATGGACTTAGACACCTTATCCAACACCGATAACATTTGAATTTAAAGACAAACTAAATTCACCATTTCCAAAAGATCAATAATAACCAGATTTATCCAATTTAGAAACAGAAACCAAATTGCTTCCAAAAGACGGTACAATGCAAGTGTCTTGAAAATCCAAATAAAAACCAGTATCTAGTAATAAACGAAATGTGCCAACTGCTTTGACTTCAACCTGCTTGCCATCACCCACATAGATGTATCTTTCAGCATCATTTGGTTTTCGGTAGTTCAGGCAACCCTGCATAGAAATACTTACGTGAGTAGTAGCACCAGAGTCTATCCACCAAGTATTTCTAGGTACAGAAACTAAATTAATTTCAGAACAGACCAAAGCACGAATTATACCTTTCTTAACTCGCCAATTGTGGTATTTTGGACAATCCGACTTCAAATGACCAGGTTCTTGACAAAAGAAGCATTTAGGAGGTCCCGATTCCTTTTTCTTTTGATCATTACCTAAATGTTGTTTCTTTTGCACTGGTCGCTTAGTAGCAGCTTCTTTTCTCTTTCTTTTGCCCTTACCTTTAGAGGTACTAGCAAAATGAGCACTCTCAGTTGTTTCCTGCTTCATCCTTTCTTCTTCTTGCACACAAAAGGAAATGAGCTCATTAAGAGTCCATTTGTCCCTTTGGCAGTTGTAACTGACCTTGAACTGGTTAAATTGTGCTGGAAGAGAAAGCAACACCAAATGGACTAGAAAATCATCAGAAATTTCTAGTTTCAATGCCTTAAGTTTTGAAGCAAGATGAGACATTTCCATGATGTGCTCCCTTATGTTTCCTTTGCCTTTATACTTCATTGAAATCATCTTTTGCAAAAAAGTACTTGTTTCAGCCTTATCATTTTTTGTAAAACGTTGTTCAATTTCAGCAAGAAAATCTTTAGCATTAATAGACTGCTCATTTGCACCTCTAAAAGCTTCTGGAACGCCGCGCTTAATGATCATTAGACTCATGCGATTTGAGCGATCCCATTTTTGAGCATCCCTTTTGTTCTCCACTGAACTTGTGGCGGTAAGGATGGGTTGCTCAATCCGAAGTGCAAGGTCAAGATCCATGCAGCTGAGAACTAACATAATGTTCTCTTTCCATTCCTTAAAGTTAGTCCCATTAAGGACTGGAATGTGATTCAAGTTGGAAGATATTATGCCACAATTAGCATTTGCTGTATTTCAGAACAAAATATTAATTAGTTTTCATGCTTATTAAACCATAATTATAATCAATAAAATTCAAATTATGACATCACAAGATATCAACACAACATTAATATCAAGTCTTTGGACAACATATTAACTTGTAAGAGATATCTTGTTTAAGTAGTAAAAAAATATTGACAATAAAATATGTTAATCAATAAGCCCCTCTTTGGATTGACTGATTAATCACATGAAACCCAAAAATTATCATATATTTAACACTATATATATGTGTTTATCCGACCAAATATTAACCTACCCTTGGGTCGATTAATATTCGCATTGACAACCACATAAACCATAAAAAAAATTAATAATAATATATGACAATAAATCATCCCATCTAACAAGCCCCTCTTTGGATTGACTTATTAACGACATGTAACCAAAAAATAATTGTCGCATATTCATTATCATATTCGTGTTTATTCGTCAAAATATCAATCTACCATTGGGTCGATTGGTATCCGCAATAATAAACACATAAACCGTAATATTTAGATTCTTAGAAAATTAATTTTCACAAAAAACATCACTTTGCGTCAATAAATTTGCCAAGAAAATAAATAATGTCATAACTGAATTTATTGACAACCAAAATAATTTCATAAAAAACTGATAATAAATTCAAATATCATTAACAGTGCTTATCGAATAAAAAATGTAACTCTTTAATTAAATTGCATGCACACTAACGTAATTAAATTGTAGACATGCTGACAACAATAAACATTATCACATAAAAACTGCTTTCTTAAATCATATACACAGCAAAGTCAAATAATAATAAAAGCTAAGAGAATATATGTGTATTATATGTACAGCTCAAAACGAGAGATAATATAAACCAAGGCTAAAGGCATTTATTTATTTTAACAAAGTGCATGTATATGTGGTCTCCAAAACAACTTACGACTTCAAGACAAATTACAATCCACAAATATTTGCATGTTAATTTAAAGTTGTATTGGCACAAATAATACTTATTAATTTTATCTAATATGTACATAAGCAAAAATATCAATAGCCATTCACAAAAGACAATATATATATATATATATATATATATATATATATATATATATATATATATAACATAATACATAGCGTTCGCATGACAGACTTTAATAGTCACTATCAAACTTATTAGTCAAACATTTGTTTGGACAATTGTAAAGCAATGTCACTAACAAAAGGTAAAAGCAAATAGTACATGAATTTAACAACTCAAACAAAGATACTGTGCCTTTAATACGGATAATCGTAAAATATTTGAAGTTTTACTTTTCTTTTGGAGCAAGAAGCAATCTCCAGTAGCAAAAATACAAATATATATTACATCCTTCGTTATTCATCGACAGTCAAAGAAAAATCAAGCATCTGATGAAATAAATAGTTCTCGACGTAACGAAGAACAGGTATGTTTCAAATATAATGTTAGAGATCTTAAACCAACAGAAAATTTCTATTATCAAATTCGAGAAGGCTCTGATACCAATTGTTGATAATTTTAATAACTTAATCTATGAATGCGGAAGCTTTTTAAGGCCGGACCTTCAAACTCGAATCTGAATAAAAGAATAATAAGAGAAGGAGATTGTGTACCTGCTTCCATTGAAGCTTTTGGATCTGAAGAACAAGCTTGGTTTTCCAGTTGATCTCAAGACAACTCCAAGACACCTTAGCAATCAGAAAAAAAACGAATTTGTGAATTAATTTCGTCCTCTTGGATTTGCTCCTCATCACATATATTTATAGATGGAGATAAACCCTAATGTGAGAGATGGAAAGGATCTTGAGGATCTTGAGTCAAACCGGAAACTCAAACCACAAATAATAAGTGAATATCAGTCCATCAACAATCTTATACACTTGCCATAATATTTTGGATTTAAATGATAACAATATATATGTTCATTTATAGAATGGTCCATGATTTTCTAATACCACAAACACCACCGCCGATGACACCACCACCATCACAAAAGCCGCCAACGTAACCAAACCCGGATGCCAAAGCCAATGTGGAAACGTAACCATTCCATATCCCTTCGGCATCGGTCCTGGTTGCTTTCTGAGCGAATGGTTCGAAGTAACATGCAACACCACTTTCAACCCTCCAAAACCCTTCTTCGGTCGTCTCCAAGTTCTTGAAATCTCCGATTCCACTTTCCGAATCACTAACAAAGTGGCAAGTTCATGTTACGATCCATTCGGAAATCTCACAAAAACAATCCCGTTTGGACAAATCTAGGCTGGACTTCACCCTACACGTTCTCCCAGAAAAACCAGTTCACCGTAATCGGATGCGATGATTTCGCCTTGTTCTTAGGCCCAAAACAAGCAGATTTCACCAGCGGTTGCATCACATTGTGTTCATGACCTGAGGAGGTGGTCAACGGGTCGTGCACCGGCGTCGGATGCTGCAAAACATCGATACCAAAAGGACTCAAATACTACTACACTGATGTTGCTAGTATGGTGTCTAATCACACCACAGTTTGGTGTTTTGATCCTTGTACTTACGCGTTTATGGGTGAGGAAGAACGGTTTACATTTCGTGGGGTGTCGGATTTTAAGGACCCGGATTTCATTAACAGGACCAGGGCTAATGTTCCGATATTGGTGGACTGGGTGGTCGGGAACTTGAGCTGCAGCGAGGCTAGAAACGCCGGCGTCTTGGCATGCCAAGCAAATGCTTATTGTATCGATTCTGATACCGGAGCTCTGGGATACAGATGCAATTGTAATCAAGGCTATCAGGGTCAACCATATCTTGATCCAGGCTGTCAAGGTTAAATCTTTCTTCTATTACTATTAAATAAACATGAATTATACTAATTTTGTGTTTGATCTTCACAGATATCAATGAATGTGAAGATCCCAACAGTAATGTGTGCGACGGGATCTGCACCAACACTCCCGGAGGTTATTCGTGTTCTTGCAAAGATGGCTACGTTGTAGATGGATTTAGCAACGGTCGAGGTTGCATTGCTGAAACTTCGGAGTTCCCAGTTATTAAATTCTCCCTAGGTAATAAACCAGCTGAAATCTCATCGCTTTTGTGTTCTTAAATGGATCATTCGGTACTTCAGTTGACTGATCAAGTGACGTCGATCTATCGATGGATTGGTTGAAAAATTGAAATATTCGATTCTTATTCATCTTTCATTAATTAATGTGGTATCATGCAAGCATGCAGGTATGGGATTTGGTTTTATGGCCCTTTTAGTCGGAATAACATGGCTGTATTTTGCCTTCAAGAAGAGGAGTCTTATCAAACGCCGACAAAAACTGTTTCAGCAAAACGGTGGTTTACTTCTGAAACAAAGAATCATAAGCAACGAAGGCAGCGTTGACTCAACAAAAGTGTTCACTGCCGTAGAGTTAGAAAAAGCCACCAACAACTACGCTGAAGACAGAATCTTGGGTCGTGGTGGCTATGGAACTGTATACAAAGGTATTTTTAGCAACGATCAAGTCGTTGCTATAAGAAGTCTCGTGTAATGGATGACTCCCAAATTGAACAGTTCATCATGGAAGTCATTATCTTAACACAAGTCAATCATCGGAATGTTGTCAAGCTCTTGGGATGTGTTTGGAGAGTGAGGTCCCGTTGCTAGTTTATGAATATGTTTCAAATGGAACTCTCTTTAATCATATTCATGATAAAGGCACAAGTTGGTTATCATTGGAGAATCGTTTAAGAGTAGCTGCAGAATCGGCTGGTGCACTTTCATATCTTCATTCAGCAACATCAACCCCCGTGATTCATCGAGACGTGAAGTCTGCAAACATATTATTAGACAAAAATTATACAACAAAAATCGCGGATTTTGGGGCATCAAGATTAGTCCCCATAGATCAAACACAAGTTACAACACTAGCTCAAGGAACTTTAGGGTACTTGGATTCTGAATACTTCCACACAAGTCAGTTAACTGAAAAGAGCGATGTTTATAGCTTTGTAGTTGTGTTAGCTGAGCTTTTAACAGGGAGAAAACTGTTGTGTATGGAAAGATCCGAGGAAGAAAGGAATTTGACGACGTATTTTGTAATGGCGCTAAAAGAAAACCGTTTGTTTCAAATTCTTGATCCTAGAGTTGTAAGGGAAGGAAGCCTAGATCAACTTCAGGATGGTGAGCTTGTGAAAAGATGTGTTAAGCTTACGAGTGATGAGCGACCTACGATGAAAGAAGTGGCCACTCAACTTCAAGGTTTGCGGAAGTTTACTCAACATCCATGGGCGAATCAAGGGGATGAAGAAAACACGAGCTTGATACACACCAAGAAAGAACAAGAGGATCTTTATGGTGTGTCGATTAATCCGTATTCTACTACAGTTGCACTCTCTTCGGGTTTTAATATCGATAGCAGTCTCGTTTATTCAACACATGTTCCCCGATGATACGAATCGGAACCATGGAAAATATAAATAGCATGAGCCCATTGTTGGTTCATGGCTTTGTCATTTTCGTTTCATTAATTTTTCTTTTTGATGTATTTTAAGACATTAGTAATTATTGATTTATTAACACATTTATGATTTTGTCATATATTAGAGTTCTTCTTAAATTATGTATTTTTAGTTTTTATTATATATATATATATATATAGATATATATATATATATATATATATATATATATATATATATATATATATACTAGTAGCGTACCCGCGCGATTCGGCGGCGGCGATTTGTTTCCTTCCGGCAGGTAATTTTCAAACGAAAGTTAGTCTCATTTCGGCGGTCGTCAAGCTGTTCCCTTTCGAATTGTTTTATTCCGGCGATTTGTTTCTTACGGCAATCAGTTGTCTCTAGACGGACGGTAAATAGTAATTAGCATCTGTTACTCTTCTTACTCTTTGTCTGGCAGTGGACGGCGATTACTTTTATTTAACGAATAATGTTAAGATGATAAATTTCCATTTTATTTGTTTAGAATTGAAAAAGTAAATATGTTATATTATATAATAATATTGAACTACGTTTAAAATAAAAGATGTCTTTTTTACGAGAGTATATATATGACATAAACATGCTAAAATTTAAATATTAAATTATATATCGTTTTTTTTTCATTCTTTTGCGTTTTGGTTCTAGTGTAGTAAAATTCCTTTACTATATTTCTGCAATAATAAGTCTTGTTAATAGTAATAATATAATGTGTCATAGGAAATCATAGTATATCTGTAGACTCTAATTAACATATTGTAAAATGTATAACCAAGATGAGGATTTAATCGGTAGACCATAGTTAAAAAATTAATCAGCTAGACGGAAATTAATTAGATACCATTAACTAACAAAAACTTATTCAAAAATTAATATATCTTAATAAAGTAAGTATTTGAGATTTTAAAATTTTAAAATTTTAAGTACTTTGGTATAATAGTTGAAATTTTGATATTTTGAAATTTTGAAGATTTTAAAATTTTGGTGGAATTTTTGAAAATTTAAAATTTGGATATTTTAATTTTTTAAAAATTCTAGCTTCTTATCGTTCAATAACAATATTTGAATAACTTTTGAACTTCTACTTACAAGTTATAACCAAAGTTGTAAAAAACGTTTCACGTTAGCTGGTTGGTAGATCAGATTAATGAATTAATTGAGGGGTCTGTAGATCAGATTAAGGAATTAATTGGGTGATTAATCCGATACCATTAATTAATAAAAAATTATTTAAAATTTAATATATCTTAATAAAATAAGTATTTAAATTTTTGAAAATTTGAAATTTTAAAAACTTTGTATAATATTTGAATTTTTGAAATTTTGAATTTTGAAATTTTTTCAAATTTTGGGTGCCAAGGAACGTCTAGGGCCGCCTATGACCGATATTGACCAAGACCTCCTAAGAAGGCTGCCTAACACTAATTGTAGAAGGGTCAAGCCCACCCCGATTAATCGGCCGCCTAGGCCGATTTTCACAACAAAAAAATGTATTTTCATTTATTTCAAGATATACAAAATGGTTATTTTGGTACAGAATGTATTTGAAGGTCCAAGTTATGGTTTGGGCTAGGCTTTTGGATGTATAGGTCATTTGTACTTTGAGTCATGTAATAGAAGTGTTTTGGTGTATGTTTACAGCCAAGAGTGTGTTTACGGCCGTAAACAAGTTTGCGGCTGTAAACCCGTTTACGGCCATGTCAGTTTACGGTCATGTCTCTTTTCCTATATATAGGTCCAGTCTGTGTCTGTTAGTGGTGGTTGATAATCCATACAGTTTACGGTCATCTGTCAGAGTTGTACCAGACGTTTTCTGAATATAAACGTGTGCAAGCTTTGATTATTCTTCTTCTACTCAATTCTTATCTTGTTTGATTGTTAGATTGTTTGATCACTGGTTAAGATCTTGTTTCCAGGACCTTACAATTGGTATCAGAGCAAGTCCGGTGTCAAATCATCTTTCAATCTCGTTTTCGGTCAAAGGAGCTCAGTTTCATCATTGGTCGAGACTGGATTTGGTGTTTTCGTGGCAAAAGGGGATCAGATCTGCTTAAAATTTGTGTTTTCATCAAGTTCTGGGCATTTACAGTCAAGAGCTTACGGCCGTAAACTCCCATTCATTGGCCGTAAACAGTCAATCTTCATTGACTGTAAATAGTCAATCTTCATTGACCGTAAATCCCTCTTAGACCGTAAACTCACCTCAACCGTAAATCCCTCTTAGACCGTAAACTCAACTCAACCGTAAACTCTTTTAGACCGTAAACCCTCATTTAACCGTAAACTTCCCTCAACCGTAAACTTCCATCAACCGTAAACTCCCATTAACCGTAAACTTCCCTCAACCGTAAACTTCAATTAACCATAAACTCCTATCAACCGTAAACTCAAATCAACCGGGAACTTGACCGTAAACTTGTGACCGCAAACTACCTTCTTGGCATTTTAGTTTATTTTTCTAGTCAAGTCCTTTTCAATTAAAAAAAATGGATTCTCAAGGTCAAGCACTTCATCATGAATTGGATTCCATCATGGGAACAACCACTCGCATTCCACGATTGTTATCTGCAGAAGGGTTCCCGGAATGGAAATACAGGATCGAGAAATACATCAAAATGGGAGATTTTAAGGTTTGGCGAAGTATTCTCAAAGGACCAGTCAGAATCACTACTAATCTTCTGAATGGACAAGTAATTGACAAATTGTACGCTAATTACACTGATGAAGATTTCGAAAAAGTTGAAGAGCAGGAAAGGGCACTGGCTACCTTGACTATGGCTTTATCTCCCGATATTGCTCAAGGCTTCAGAGAATACACTTCAGCCAAAGCACTGTGGGAAGCTTTAATTGAGGTTTACGAAGGAAATGAGGATATGAAATAGAACCGTCAGGATATGTTGAGACAAAAATTCAACATGTTCAATTATATCGTTGGAAAAACCCTGGAAGCTCAGTTGCAGCGATTTACTGCACTTACTATTGAGATGAGTACAGCTGGGATTTACTTGAGTAGGACTGAGATAAACAAAAAGTTACTGAATTCACTTCCGAAGTCGTGGGATATGAATGTGGCGGTCATCAAGAAGACAAAAGATCTTAATCGTCTTAGTCTTGCTGAAACAATGGCAATGATCAAAGCCTGTGATCTTGATGACAAGCAACGAGAGATGAATCATGTGAATTCCTACTCAACTGTGAATCTTGGAATTTCCTCAAATAATGCTTTTTCATCCTATACCTCTTCACCAAGTCAAGCCTTTACTATTCAACAACCTCAGAATCAAACATTTATCACTCCATCAGTTGCACCATTTGTTGCTTCAGCATCTGTCTCTCATCCACATGTTGCTTCAGCATCTGTTTCTCATCCACAAAGTCAATCTTTCATTGTTCCTCAAGCTGTTTCCTCCTCAAGGGCACAAGTTATCGCTCCAGCTCCCCATTCCAAAGAAACTGATGAGAACTTAGCTCTTGCTACTGGACTTGTCAATTGCTACAATGCTTTTGTAGCTGGAGAGCTTCCACCTCAACTCTCATTTGCTGATCTGGATCAGGTTCATCCAGAAGATGTGGAAGAAATGGATATTACTTGGCAAATAGCTATGGCAGTGTGCAGGGCAAAGCAATATGCTAAGAAGACAGGAAAGAATAATTGGGGAATGAATGCGGATAAGAAAGTAGGGTTTAACAAGGGAAAGTTGCGTTGCTACAACTGTCACGAGTCGGGTCATTTTGCTCGTGAGTGTCCCAAACCAGACAGAAGAGTATGCGGTGATCGAACAATGGTTCCAGTGGGAAATGGTCGTGGAAATGCTACTGTCAACAGTGAGACTGCTAATCTAGCAGTGGTTGCTCAGTCCTTTGACTGGGAGGACCAGATTCAGGCACTGAATATTTCAGGGCCTGAAAATGCTCACTTGGCTCAAATCAATGATACTCCTGTGGAAGAAGCTGAAGTGGATCCTGAAGAAGAGATGATGGAGTTGCAGTTTGCTTTCATGGTATCTTCTACTTCAGAACCTGAAAAGAATGAGGTAAATCAGTCTTGTTGTTCTCAAACATGCATTGATAAAGTTAACAATCTTCTTGAGCATATAGAATTATTATGTAGAGAGAACGAGGACTTGAGATATGAAGGGTATCAACTTAGAAAAGGACAGAAACCCCTGAAGGCTGAATTAGAAGCAAAAACCAAAGACTTTAGAAAACTTCAGGAAGAGTATAACACTAAGTTCGCACATTATAGTTATGTGACTGACCAACTTGCTGAGGTAGCTGCTGAGCTTGACACATTGAAAAATAAATTTGAAAATGCAGATTTTACTTTTAGAAAATTTGAAGTGTCAAGTGAAGTAGTTGCATCCATGATAGAAACTAATTTGAAATTCAAAGAAAACCAGTCAAAGGGTTTAGGGTATGATAAAGTTCCTCCTCCTTTTAATCATACCTATACTAATAACCCCTTGACAAAAGAGGAAATAGACAGAGAGCCATTTATGAAATAAGGATTTGTGTCAGGAGGTATTATTAATGTTGAAAATACTAATGTTTCTACTTCCAATGCAGATCAATCCTTAAATCAATTAAAGCGAGAAGCTGACGGATCTGTTTCTGAAAATAAAGAAATTTCTGAATTTGCTGTTTTTGAATTTGCTGTTTCTGTTTCAAAAATTGAATCTTTTGTTTCTAATGTTAAAAACAATGATACATCTTGTGATAATTCTGCATCGGATCATGTTGATTTATTTTTTTTTGACATTTTTGATGATTTGTTTGATAATCCTGATGTTCCTGAATTTGATGTTTCTGTTTCAAGCACATCCACTTCACCAATCATATAACCGGATTCTCCCTCACCTATCACACAATCTGATTCTTGCACATGTTCTTGTGAAAAAAGTAAGGGTGTCGGTAAAGAAAGTAAATCAGACAAAGGCAGTACCAGTTAC